TCCTTTAGAGCTGAAAGTAGTTTCTAACAGAGCATCTAAACCAGAAAGTGATGGTTTTTATGCAAAGTTGGGATCATGATACTGAAGGAAGAGGCGGACTTGGAAATATCGAAACAGGCTAGACCGAGGAGGGCCAAATTGATTTGACAAGTCATCAAAGCTTGCGAAAATATGGTTTACATACATATCTTTAAATTTATAAATGCCTTGTCTTTGCCAGAGAGTAAATTCAGAGTGTAATCTAGCTGGGAGGAAAAGATGATTATTGTGTATGGGACTTAGATGGAGAAGATTATTTAACCCGAAGCTACGTCTACGTCATGGATCACATGGGGGGGGCGCTTGAAACAGGGTCCGATACATACATTAATAAATCCTCTGCGCTTACCGTTTGTAATTTCTGAAGCTTTGGGTGAGGTATATAAGAGTTTAATCCATGAAATGACATTAGGACCATAACCACATTTCTTCAAACATGTAAATAAATATCCCCATTCTACCCTATCAAAGGCTTTCTCTGCATCGAGCGCGATAACCAGCTCGGGGACCGCACTGGGCGCAGCAGAGTGAATAATATTTAATAGTCGGCGGATATTTTTAAATGAACAACGCCCCAAAATAAAACCAGTCTGGTCGGCAGAGATCACGTCATGCATTTAATAGGAGACGTTCTGTCTTTTCAGTTGATGACAGATTGTATTGTGTTTGGAGGTCCAGCTTCTCTTTATATAATTCAGGGGAGGGAGAGGTGGAGTACTGAGAATCCACCATAGCTATTGCTTTAATGAGCTCCTCTTGTTTTATTCTATTCATCTTATTTGTTTTAGAGTACGATATAATCTCACCCCTGATTACCGCTTTTAATGTTTCCCATAAAAGAGAAGGGGAAGTGTCTTTTAATGCATTTTCTACCTCATTTATTCTAGTTGTTATTTGTTTTAGTGACTCTATTGAAACTGCTCCGGTTATAATTTTATTCCCCAATGAATGACTTCGAGGTATCTACACTCAATCACGAGCAGGGCTCAGCTGTCAATCATGATGTGAAATGGCTTCAATTAACTAATTAAAACCACAGTAATCAGTAAAATGAACCTCAGCGTGAGAAGATCTACCTGAAATACCAGAAACCCGACTTTGTCCCATCTGCTTACATGAAGGCTTTATGACTTATACTGCAGTCAGCCACCAGGGGGCAGTCCAGAGGTTCTGGCTTCACTTTAGGAGAGCTGTCATGTCGTTGATGGTCCTGATGGTTAGAGCCTGGAGCGCTTTTATCATGTTGTATCTTGATTGTCTTGTAAAGAGGAACACCTTTGAAATGAACCTGAACCTGTGTGTGTGTGTGTGTGTGTGTGTGTGTGTGTGTGTGTGTGTGTGTGTGTGTGCAGACAGCAGTGAGGCCCGATGCAGGGAGCTGCAGAGGAGGTGCGAGGAGCTGGAGGCCCAGCTGAAGAAGAAGGAGGAGGAGAACACGGAGCTGCTCAGGGACCTCGAGCAGAAGAACGCCATGATCTCCGTCCTGGAGAACACCATCAAGGAGCGGGAGAAGAAGTACCTGGAGGAGCTGAAGATGAAGAGCCACAAGCTGGCGGTTCTGTCCGGGGAGCTGGAGCAGAGAGCGAGCACCATCGCTTACCTCACCTCGCAGCTCCACGCCACCAAGAAGAAGCTGCTGGCGGGCAGTTCGTCCGAGGCCAGCCCCAACGTCAGTCCGGTCACCTCGTACAAGCCCACGCCCCCGCCGGCCAAAGACAGGCAGCCCGAAACCCCTCGGCGCCGCATGAAGAAGAGCCTCTCCCAGCCTCTCCACCCGGAGCTGACGGAGGTGTATCGGCTCGGCCCGGACGGCAGACGGTTGGTTCTGCGGGAGACGGTAGACGCCATGCCCGACCCCACCCCCTTCCTGCAGGCTGGGAGAGACTCTCCTGAACCGCAGGTAGTGCGAGAACGGCCCGCCGTCATCCCTCCCATCGCCTCCGAGCGCTCCCCCGTCACTCCCCTGGGCGCCATGGCCAGCCCCCGCCACAGCCCCGCTCGGGACCGTCAGTACAGGGCTCACGTGGGCGTGGCGCACCGCATCCCACACGGCACCCCTCCTCTGGCTCCGCCGCAAGCGGAGCTGGAGACGCTGGCGGTGGACCAGGTGAGCGAGGAGAAGGTCGTGCGGAAGCGCTCGGGAACCGACAGGACAGTTTAACACTGCGACGCCAGCACACACACACACCTACTGCGCGCACACACACACACACACACACACACACACACACACACTACACCGCAAGAGCAGGAAGGAGCCTGACCCACTGTGTAGCCTGCTTTCTACGCAACACTGCAATATGGAAAAGATTAAATAACGATCATTTTGTTCACGCTGTTCCATAAAGACTTTTGTTTTTCTTAATCTACGTTAGAGAACTATAAAGCATGCCAAAAGTTTCCTAACCACGCCCCGATGAGATCCTGTATTATACACACTTTGACTTTGTGCTTAGGCTTTTTCACTCCGTTCTGTCTTACGTGGTGCGTTCAAGTCTCAGCCAAATATCTGCATCAGTGCCTGCTCGACCGGTTCCGGCTGCGTAGTGTTAACAGCAACCTTTACATATCTCTGTCTGCTCCACCTTCTCAACAATACTCCGGACGTATCGACACACGCTATATAACGAGATGTCTGCAGCTGCGTAGGGTTAGAATCCAAACTAATACTCCTCCCGAATGTCTTTCATCTTCTTCTATAATCAGTATAACGACTGTACGAGCTGGCGGAAGGTGGAAGAGCTGTAACTTCACCTCTCTGTTGATGACTTGCAAAAAAAAAAAAAAAACGCAAACAGCAGCGGTGCACATGTGTGAATGAAACGATGGTTAAACAGGGCGTGAATGTGTGTGTGAAAGAGTGTGTGTGTGTGTGTGTGTGTGTGTGTGTGTGTGAGAGAGACTATGAAGGCTTCAACAATATCCATGTTATTTGTGATAAAAGGGCATTTTTTTGCAAATACTGCTGTAATAGGATTTTGTGATATTACTAACTGTACTTTATAAAGGCTGTACATTTGTAATGAATTCTTTTTTTTATTTTTATTTATTGTTTAATAGAGAACGCAAAAAGCACCTCAGATACTGACGGTAGGTCACTGCACCACCAACATGACGGTAATTATAATCACCTTAATAATCTGCTTTTCACATTAATATCACCCTGTCCTTGAAGTAAACGTATAAACACAATAAAGCAATGCTGTTTTTTTACATTTGGTTTCTGTTTGTGCACGTGGACGACAAAGGAGAGACACTTCAGGAGTTCACAGCAGCTTTTCTAAAACAATTGTGATGCATGTTTTTAAGTTTTGAATTAAATTGGGGGAAGAAAGTGAAATTTGGGGGAAAATAGTGGCGATTTCTTTTGTATAATTCATTAAAAATTGAAGGCAACTTGTTCTAAACTTACACTGTTTGGATGGCGGATGTGTTTGAATCTTCACAACTAGAAACAAAGAAGTGTGTTTGTTGACGTATTGAGTGCGAAACTACTGAGTAAAATGATTGAAAGCTGCAGTTATTGGACAGAATTGACAGGGATTGTTGAATGTGTGTCTGAATTAAGTGTCTTAATAAAGGTGTTGGGCCTCAGAGAACTAACTTACTAACTAGTCTACTTTCTAGACTTGTTTGGTCTAGAAAATGTTATTAAATGGTGACAAATGTTGTTCAGTGTTTCCCAGAGTCCAACGTGACGTCCTCAACCCAAACATATTCAGTTTACTGTCACAGAGAACTAAAGAAACCAGAAAATATTCACATTTGAGAAGCTGAAATTAGAGAATTAGAAGTTTATAAAGGTCATAGCTGCTGTTAGTTACTGATATCGGGGTGGAAGTGGTGATGTAAAGGAATAGTGACCATTATGCATTAAGGATTATCTGTCTGCAACAACAACAACAACAACAGCTGAGAAGGTTGTTTATACAAATGTGTGTGTAGTTCAACCAGTTGGCCACTAGGGGTCCTCCTTGGCTCAGTCACAGCTCCAGGATCCATACAGACACTTTATTAGATTACATGATGAAGTCTGTGGGTTTCTTTCTTCCTGGACTGAAAATAAAGTCAAATAGACTCAACTGCACATTGATAATAAATTGTTTGGACAATGTTGGTCTCCTAAATAAACCAGAACCCCTCAAGAACCAGGACTGAAGATCTGACCAGGCTCTCCAGATCCTTCAGAAACTGCTAGAACGTCATGGCTTCAGCTGCTGAGCGGTTTGTTTTACGCTCTGTGGAAGAAGCTGTTGAAAGGTTAAAGGTTATAAAAGCATAAAGAGGCAGTGCTGGACGCTATCAGCACTTTATCTCCGTTTAATTACCAGCAGTCGATGAACTGGGGGAGTTTTTAAAGTTAGTTAAAGAGAGCTATATAAATTAAAGCCCCACTAGAGGTCGCCAAAGCCTCGCAGGATGTCACAAGACCGATAAGGTGTGTTAGAAAACGTATACACAGTAAGTATTCAGTATAAACCTAAATGAAAGTTATTTTTAAAGTTTACATTTTACTTTAGAACCAGATAAGTTAATTTAACTCAATAAAGTGTTAGAAACTGACTCAAATTTTAAGTAAAACTAACTCAATGTTGTAGCTTCAGTCATTTTAAGTGGCACTGACTTCATTTAGAAGTTATTTTTATTTGTTAAAATAATTAACTTACAAAATAGTTTTATTAAAATTTGAGTTAAAATAACTGTATTACAGTGTAATTAATATCTAAAGTTTGAAGGCCTGAACATATAACACATAAAAAGAAGCCCGTTAAATCTGTATAATTGTTAAAAAATAAAAACCTAATACAGACAGAGTTGTATCAAAAGTTCCTACAAATATCAGGAAAACTCATCTCTGATCAACATTAACAGGAAATAATGTTTAAAATTCATAAAAGTCTCTGCAGTTACTGTTAATATCAGCAGCTACGTCTGACTGACACACAAACAACCGACAGACGAGTGATTAAAATAAAGTTTATTTTGACAAACATATTTGGTTAAACTCACTCGCAGCTCGGCTCCTCCGTCCTCACACGCACGTCGCAAACAGACTTCTCTATACACTCAAGCTCGTAAATCATTTGGCATTACACTCTCTTCAACTTTAAGTTTCATATTTACACTTTTAAAAGGCCACTTAATACACTTTACAGGACTGCAGATAGGGGACATTTTTAAAGACGTCAATAAACACGCTACAAACGACAAATACACAAAAAAATAGCACATATTTAAAAGCATTCGCAGTGGCGGCAAACCAGAGAGCTTTCGAGCTGAATCCTCGTTGGCGTGCCGCCACAGAAAAGGCGTTTTTATTCTCACACGAAGGAAAAAGTGCCGGTTTTCATCCTGATTTTACAAACATTTCAATTACGGTTTTCGCAATTGTTAATATAGTTCTTTAGTATTTTATTTTTTTGTGTTTAACCTCTATGAACTCTCACAGGACGTCTGTAAAGAGATACAGTTTGATATGTTGATGCAGAGCTTCAAACTAGTCACGTTCCCCTCCCCTCCCCCCGGGGCCGTTACTGAGCCGGCTCTGGCCTCCTGGCTGGCGAGGTCACTTTCTTCTGTTCAATGCCTGGAGGGAGGGAGGGAGGGAGGGAGGAGAGTTTTAACTTCACAGCGTCTGTATCACCGTGGGATAGATAGATAGATAGATAGATAGATAGATAGATAGATAGATAGATAGATAGATAGATAGATAGATAGATAGATAGATAGAGATGTATAAAATCTGAAAGTGCACACCTGAATCTGTAAGAGTTAACTGATTGAGTTCCTCCTCCAGCTGTTCGGCGCTGATATCCAGCTGCCTGTACGGTACGGCGGGCAGAGAGTCGAGCAGGTCGTTACCCGCCGGGAGGCTCGGCTCCCCCGGGGCCCGCAGACCGCCCGTCGGGACTTCGGGTAAACCCGAGACAGAATCCGGCTTCGACTCGTCCAACAAAGATTTCAGTTCGTTCTCCAACTCGTCCATGTCTTCATCTGTAGAACACGGAGGAGACGACCTTAGACCTCCTTCAGATTCATTTATGTAACTGATTAAAAAGACACCGACGGGACGACATACCTGCACTGGTCACGCCACCGGATATAGTCTGGTTCACCTCGTCTTGAGTGTCACACAGCTGGTTAAAAATCAGAGGAAACACACATTAGGAAGATTCAAGGTAAAACATTTAAACTGATCTTTTTAAGAGATCATTTTCCAGGTAATACAGGACGGCTTTATATAGTAATATATAAATATAATGATGCAGGTTGAACCAGCCTGTTACAGTAACTCTTGAATGAATTCATCAGGTCTCATTTATAAAGTATTTATCGTGTGTTTTCATGAAGACATTAAAAAAAAACAAAAAAATAAACATATAACTCTTCAAACTGGCCACTTTACCTGTTTAAGAAAATATGACGTAATGCAGAAATTGGCAGTAAAAAGGTTCAGGAACGTTCATTTATGCACAAATTTGCTCTTCTCGCTGTGAAATGAGGTGAATTGGTTTTTAAAAATCAATGAAACCTCATTGGATCAGCTTGTAGGGGCTTTAATTATCTGGTTAAGATGGAACGACAGTGACCCCTGGTGGCCAAACCGCTGTACATACTGAAGTTATTTTGTGCGATATGTTCAAAAAGAAGTCTAAAACACTTTTAAAATAACAAAATAAAACAAACTGCTACCTCCTGGATTTGATCCACGAGGTTCTCGGCTCGCTCCACGGTCACGTCCTTCAGCGAGAGCCTCAGCGCCGACACTCCGGCCTGATACGCCTGAATAACCTACGGACACATTCGCCGCACGTTAACAGAGCCGACAGCCGACAGACGACCCGCTCAGAAAGAGAGAGAGAGCGTCGGTGTTCATTCCTACCATCTTATCGGTCTGCGACTGAGCTATCCGGTCCAGGATTCCTCTGATGGACTCCAGCTTGGCGAACAAGTTGTCCGCTCTCTTCTCGACCCTCTTGCGGCCTCTCAAACACCTCAGCGCCTGTGGGACAGACGGTGGGACAGACGGTGGGACAGACGGTGGGACAGACTGGTTGCACTCAATAAAATTGAGTTTTCTTGCAGTTGTATGTCATTACCTGTGATTTCTTCCCTTCCCGGAGCAGAGTCCTTGCTTCCTCTTTGCATCTGCACACACACACACAACACAAAGCAGCTTCAGCAATCATCACATTATTAACATGTTACACCTTCTGACTATGAGCCAGATAACAGGTGGAAACAAAACAGGTATAAAGTGTATTTTATGGTTAAATAGAAGTTATCCCTGTACGGATGATGTGTATGTATGATTCCAGTGAATATATATCACTCACAGTTGATTCCTGTATAAAGATGGATTCTTGTAGAGTACAGAGATAGAAAATGTGCCTTTTCTTCATTCTTAAATTAACCTAATTTAAAAAAGGTCACAGTGCATTTTGATGTTGACCACTCCACCGTTGTATCCCGTTAAAACTACCGTCTGAAATCTTCTCATAATTAAAGCATCAATTATCACCAAACACGTTTTGAGCTCACAGTGACCTTTAATGGTCACTAATTCACCGTCTTGAGTTACGACAAAGAGGGAAAAGCCAGTAAAATTCTCCCAAACTAATGTATAAACTCTCTCTTTAACCACATTTAAGATATTCTATGTGATATCTAATGTAATATATTTTCACTTCCACTCACTGAGCCTCCCCTGAAACCCCCCCGGAGTTGACCCACCTCCCTTTTTATAAAACAAACCCTCTAAAGTCTAATATAATTCTCCCACTTTGCCCCGCTTACAAACACCTACCAGACTCTCACAGTTTACCTCCACACACCATCAATCAAAAACTAACTCTGCCTACGTACTTGTCTGCCTCCAGGCCCAGTTTCTCCACCCGCTCTCCCAGCAGCTTCTCACTGCGCTGCAGCTGGTAGATTCCTATATCCACCTCGCTGACGGGGGACACGCGATCCTGCCCGGGTGGACAAAACTTAACAATCTGTAAGAAGGACACACAAAAAGACAGAAGGGAAACATAAACGTCTCAACAGGGTTTCGTCCTGATAAGATTAAAATAAAAAACAGCCTCTAATGAGCGTTGACGCTTCACCTTCTCGCCTTCGTGCAGTGAGACCGTCACTTGTTTGTCCCTCTGCAGCTGCAGTAGAGCCATGCACAGGGTGCTCTCGTCGGCACACACGTCAGACGAGAGAGTGCAGAGCTCTTGAAATGACAGGATGGAGCTGCTGGCATATTCGCTGCTCCGGTACACCTGCAGGAGTTCTGCTGCTTTCTCCTGGAGAACCAAAGAGAACCAGCTTTAGATCCAGCAGCTGCCGCAATAACATTCATTGTCTGGGCCTTAATTTCAGTGTTTCATTCATTTTCTGGGCAGAAAACTTAATGGATTTGTTATTTTCTAGAAGTTTAGATTATTTTTTAAGAGCTAAAACGTTTGAAGAACTGAACACAAGTTATATTTACCTTAAGTACACAGTTAAAACAACAAAAAACTAAGAGAATGATGAGAAGAAAATCATTCAGTATGTATGATTGGTAAGAAATAAATAAACATACATGTAATGGATAGAACATTTAATAAAAAAAAGGTCCCTAAAAGTAAACTCATCTCTGATGCTAATCTGCACAAAACTCATCTGAATCACAATTTTTCTTTCCTAAATTGTACAGTGCATCAGTTCTCTACTGTTATTGGTATTAAATATAAAGTGAAATACACATAAAATGTATCACTTAATCAGAGGTCGTCAATTTGGTTGGAAACACACTTGTTTAATATATAAATTTGCTTGTTTATTCACCTTTTTGTGGCAGAGGAAACATCAATTAATCATTAATACATCTACAAAGATAAGCTGCCTTGTTGGTAGTGTTGCACTAGGGTCAATAAAACAACATCAAAAAGGTTTAACATGAAAGAATAAAGAGCTGCAGGACTCTGGTGGCTGATCTGACAGGTTAAAGTACAAAAAACAACCTCCAGGAAGTTGTTGCTTAATATTAAAGACCATGGAAAAGGACCAAGGCACTCCCTGGAATAATAGTGGAATAATAACATCTGGGCCTGCCTTGGTTTTCTCCAGAGATTCAGGAAGTTTAACAAACCTTCACTAGTTCAATGACAACGAAGGACTCCTCCAGAGGCACCCGGCTGCTCCCCAGAAGAGTGGAGAAGGTCCACTTCAGAGGCTTCACCAGCAGCAGGCCCACACCCCAGGACAGCCAGCCACAGTCCACGTTGGCAGCGAACTCAGACTCCCTCTGGATCTTCCCACATCTGGCAGATGTTAAAAAACAAACACAGGCAATGAAAACCACACACTGACCCACAGAGTTATTAAGAAACCATTTTCAAGGACCTTTCCAGGACCTTTTCCAGGCGTTTTTCTTGACAATTAAAAAGTACAAATTCACACATAAGCTGCAGTTTGAAGCAAAGTTTATAAAGATACACACAAATCCAGCAGTATTTATATTATTTTACATAAAATTCATCTTCTACAAAGTGTTCCCTACATAAATAATACACTAACTCAAAGTTTTAATTAAAACTAACTATTTTTTAAGGATACTAATTTTATTCCATAATTCACGTAAAATCACTATAGCTTCTTACAAAATTCAGTTAGTTTTACTTAAACACTTTTTTTTTAGTTAAATTAAAAATAACTATTTTTTAAGTTCTTGATTGAGTTTTTACTATTTTTTTTTCACAATAAAATGTCCAAATGAAGTGAAATTTAAAAGCTACTTACAAAATAGTTACTTTTACTTAAAATTTTAGCTAAATTAATTGATTTCTTTCAGTTACTTTGTTTTTTTTTTAAAGTTTTCAGACACCCAATAAAACCAAGGAGGCCTAACGACCCCCACTGTGAGGCTCTGGCGACCCCTAGTGAGGCTCCAGACCCTCAGGTTGGGAACCACACTTACAGAACATAAAACATTAAACAGAGATAAAGAATAATAAATAACATTAAAAAGTATTACACATGTTATAGTGATAATATGAACCCTCATAAAGCGAGCCCCGGTGCAGGAGCAGCTACCTGGCCAGGCACTGGAGCACCGTCGCCAGGCCCAGCGGTGCCGTCTCTTTCCTCCGGAAGGTGGTGTTGAGCTCCCGCAGACTCACGCACACGGTGCCGCGGTCCCGGCAGCTCTTCACCACCAGAACCGTCCAGAAGTCCATCTTGCTGTCCCAGTCCGTCGTGTTCACCTCTCGGTTCTCCTTGAAGTCGGAGAACATGAAGTTCATCCGCTCGTCGTCGTCCCACTCGGGCGGCAGACTCATCCCCGCGAACTTTAGCTGACGGCTGATAACACCGAGCGGCCCGCTAACTGCCCCTCACACGGACTAAACACCACCCGCCGGGGCAACACGTAAAGATTAAAACACAGTCCGCTCGGGGTGAGTTGAGGGCGGTGTTTAGCTCACATGTCGCTGCCAGCTATCAAACGCACCCCGTCACTTCACCATGATGCATTAAAAACCCGAGCTAACGCGAGCTAACGTGTCATATAACAACAACAACAACAGACGGTAGCGCGTTTTATACGTCAGGGCCGCGCGAGGGGGCGGTGATGCGTGTCTCAACAGAGCAGCGCGCTGACGCAGACACCCTGACACGTAAAACAAGCGCACCCAGATCTCCGCTCACGAACATCATGTTTGCGGAGATTTATGCGCATGTGAGATTTTATATTTTATTTATATTTAATTTAAAGTTCTGCTTTGATTAATATGATAATTCTTACTGTTAAATATTAAAATAAATATATTAAATATAAATTCTTCTTATTATATTATTTATATTTAAATAATTTATTTTATAATAATATATATTTGTATTTTTTATTATTTATTTTTTTAGGGATATTTCACGCTTTTTTGCTGTTATGATTTAATCTATTTTGTTTTTTTTCAATTCTTGCTTCTCATGGGTTTATTTTGTTTCTTATTTATGCCTGAGGATTGATTTACATATCTTATTATTCTAATAAATCCCCCTATTTTGTTTCATGTATGTATTCTCCGCAAGTGACTGTATGTTTTATTATTATAAAGCTAATATTCTGCATTCATGACAACTGTACAGGGCTGATTTTTTTTGTTTTATATTACATTAAGGCTTAAAGTTATGTATAATCAAGGGCGTGGCTGCTTTGAGTGACAGGCAAAATACACAAATATACACAAATATTTATCTTTGCTGTAGTCAGACGCTTGTTTCATAATAAAAAAAACCTCTTCTCTTGAAAATGGTGTTCATTTTTCTTGTAAACAACGTCAAAACTGTAGTAATTTACTGATTTAAACTACCTACTAGCTCATGTTGGAGTGAATATGGACAGAAATGATGATGCCACAAAAGAAAAGGAAGAAAAACAAGACAGTTTAAATAATAACGCAGCTCATAAATCTGCTCCACCAGCACCACATTAAGACATAAGACAGGACACAGGACTTTTCTTTTAAGGGCTCGTAAGATGCATTTAATCACACCCCGTTCCCGCCCGCTTCCATGTGCAAATGTACACAGCGACACTTAAACTCAGTTTGTGACTGTACATTTAAAAACAAAGGACAGGATTAGAGCTTTTAATAACTTTAATACACATTCTCTGATCCCAGAATCTTCTATCACGCCTCACAAGACAAATATGTCTTTTAAAAACTTAAATTATAAAGAAAATAAGTTCACATTTTCAGTCCATTTTAAAGCCCCTCGCTTTAGTTGTACTCATGCCTCATGATCCTGTGTTATTATTGCAGAACGAACATTAAATCCAAAACATACCTCATATATAAAGATGAAGGATTTTAAAGTATTGCGGTGTGGTTACGTATTGCTTGTTTTTACATATCATTTGTGCCGTATCATGCAAGATGCTACACAGATTAAACCCCACTGTGTGTGTCCTCCGTAGCTTTACAACATCCACTCTCATCCAGAGAATAATTCAGTAGATGCACATGCATTTTCACATTAGTATTCGATATAATACTTAAATAAATAAAAAAGGAACTGGCTTAAGATATGTGGCTGAAGCACTCACATGACACTAAGATCGGCATTATCACGTTTCATTCACATGTTAAGAGATAGTGCATAAAAATAGATTAATCATTTAATTAGTTGCCTCCCTTTAAACACCAGGTGGAACAGCAGACCTTTAGTTACATGGCTTAAACATTTTTGCAGTCTTTCTTTTGTTTGGCACACGTTGATAAATGCTCAGAAAACGCCTCCTTTCGCTCGGACTTTGGCACGTCTACTTGGCGCTGAGATCCACCACCAGGTGCTGGTAGGCGAGCGTGTTGCCCTTGAAGCTGGCGGCCAGCAGGATGTCCTTGTTGTCGACAGAAACCAAGCTGAACGCCCGCGGGGCCCTCATGTTGAGCTCCTGGAAGGGCTGAAAGCGCTGGGTGAGGTCGTCCCACAGGTACACTCTGGAGAAGGAGAAATCGCTACCGAGAATGAGGTACTGGCGGAGGCCCACCGTGAAGGGATACACCGCCATCGAGCCCCGGGAGGGAAGAGTCTGGATCTCTACGAAGCGCTGGCCTTCCCAGCGGAGGATCTTGGAGTCGCCGATGAAGCGTGTGAGGCAAAGGTAGAGGACCTTCCTCACCCAGAAGTGCTTGACCATCTGCACGTCTGCCACCTCGGTGATCTGGGAGAAAAAGACGAACTGCCGCTGGCTTCGGTTCCACTGGTAAACCACCGGCGGTTGGGAGGCGCTGGAGAGGATGAGGTGAGGCTTTCCCGCGACGTCGAGGAACTCCACGTGGGTGTCCCGATGCCAGGGATGGAGGGACTGGTGGGAGTAGAAACCGTTGCTGTTCCAGCGGTAAATGCTGGTGGAGCCGGCCTTGGAGCTGTCCGCCACCACAAAGTACCACTCGTCATCCAGCTGGAAGGTGTCCACGAAGTTGGGCTTCCTCACACGGGTGGTGTCGATGTCTTGGATCTTGACGAAGCGCTGCGGGTCCTCTTCCCACCTGTGGTTAGCACAAAAGGTTCTCAAGAGCGTTCACAAAAGAGTTGCACAAAGAAAGGAATAGTTTGGGAGATATGTTTGATTAATTTGTTGCTGAGATGAACTCTGAAGAAGTGAAGCTGAATTTGAGCTTCAGGGAGACGTTAAAGATCATCAATGGTTAATAGAAACACCTACAAGAAATCTGTTGTTGTCAGACTTTGCAGTAGTTTAAACTTGAATTGTTTTTATTAAAAATGTCTGACAATGTCCTTGTTAATGTGTAATTGCAAACACGTTATGTCCTTTTATCTTAGCAAAAAGTTTTTTAAGAGAAAATGTAACACTATAAAAGTGCAAAAACAACTACATTTTATATTTTATGCTATATTATTGACTCCTGGTGGTTTCTACCTGATTTGCCTCCATACAAAAAAAACCTCAGACATTTCCAACTTCAGGATGTGTTAAAGTACTAAATAATCTGTCAAATGATCATAAAAAACGACATATGAAACAACACAACTTAGAGACTTCTATAATTTACTTATCGTCGTCCAAAACAGCTTTCTGGGCAAAAGTCTGCGAGAGAACGACGTAGCCATGCACATTTTGGCAGTTTTGGTGAGTGTAGTGTGCCGTACGTATTGATGGAGTTTGATATAACAGACTTTAATCTGAGCTCTGAGAAAATCAGCAAAAACTAGGGACAACATTTCCTAAATATGTCGAGCTCTTCAGAAGAAACTCAACAGCTCACTGAATCAGAAGTCTTACTTGTAGATGTGAGAGCCGCCGAACAGTTGAGCCACAACCATGTACAGACTGTTGCTTATGACCACTGGTTTGCAGTACACGGCAGAGCGAGCTGCAAGAGAGACACACAGAGTTAGGATTCATTTTTTAAAGCACAGATTTGAACAATATTTATGCTTTCATAGCCTGGAAACTCACAGGTAATGTTATGAAACATCCTGAAGACCATCTCCACGTGGTCCCAGACGTACAGGGTGCAGAACCCCGAATCGGGCTGAGCAAAGGTCACAAACTGATCCCCATTGAACTCATAGGACTCCACAGACACAGAGTGGAAAGGGAAGGTCTCGTAAACAGCAAAATCTACGGGAAGACGACCCAGAATTACAACACAAGAATCCACGACACACCACCTTTATGTCCGAATGAGACATGGTCAAACCTGCGCTGATGCAGTTGAAGTCTCGTGGCGCCAGATCGTGGATTCTGCGTCCCTGGAATTCGAAGGGGCTGGCGCAGTAGATGGCGGGAACAGAAGTGTTGGTTTTCTCCATCCAGTCGACCAGCCACTTGATTTTACAGTCGCAGCGGAAAGAGTTCCCCCGCAGGTCTCTGAAAAACAGGAAATATGTCCCTTTATATCTCAAATACCCAAATATAAAAGGCTCACTGCATGTAAAGGAACCCCTTTTCTATCAATGGGTACACTTAAGTCACTTTTTTATGGATATTCCATATTATACTGTGCATAACTGTGCATAACAATAACAGTAGAGAAGAAGTGATAAACTGCACAATGAACTCAAACAGTGAACTCAATAACTGCAAGAAGTTTGTGTAAAAACCAGAGATTTGGGGGGAAAAAATTCTCTGTCTGTACTATGTATCTTTTTATATTTTTACATACTTAATAAGCTTATTTTCTTGACAAATTCATTGTGTTTCTTCTCATTGTTCCATTAGTGCTTCAGTACATCGAGGAACTTGCGACCACAACATGCAAATTCAACCAATCCCTGTGAATTCTGCGGCACAATTTCCCCACAAATTATTGTAATTTCCTGCACGAAACATTGAGTAATACAACTGTAACAGCTGAAATGTGCCTTTAAGAGACTGTGTTGCCTAGATACAAGAGATATATGTGCAATATACATCATTTAGGCAGCAATAATCTCAATAAAAGCCCATGAAATCCTGGAGGGACGTGGTATGAGACTGTTTATCAGAGAGTGAAGGTTCTGTGAATATAGGCTTGTGTTCATGTCTAAAATGTGACTCCTTGTGAAGCTTTGGCGACCCCTAGTGGATGTTGGGAACCAGCACTGTTGGGTTTACAGTAGGTATTAAAGTTTATGCTTTGAGTCAAGCTGAAGCCAGACGCTTGTGCAGTCGAGTGCGGTCGTCCACTGATCCCTCGGGGAAACCAGCGTTTTGTAGTGACACATTTTGGGGTCGAAGCTCTCGGGATGTCAAGGCATTGTTGTGATTTCATTGACGGAAGACTTACAAATCTGTGAGGATGTCTAGATGTTTGAAGAGATCTCTTGGCAGCTGCTGCAGGTTGTTGTTTGAAAGAGATCTGGAAGAAATCAATAAGAGGACAGAAGTTATCTTGATGTTCTCCTGGCAGTGGCGTATTTTTTAGACTTTTTGGCTGCGGTGGCCGAAGTGGGACACTAACTTTACCATTTCAGTCACAGTGTAAAGTACCAACAAATACATTAAAATAAGCCTGTGCGGACTAAATATTGTATTGACAAACACAGTAACAGAATCTGGATCCAGATCTGATCAGCACTGTTTGACAGTTTGATCTGAGTTTGGTGCGTTGAGCTGGACGGACTCACTGAGAATGAGCTGTCAATCACAAGGTAGCCCCGCCCTAAAGCATACCCTGCTTTATGGTGTGTTTTACTCTAAATGGGACCATCAGTTACTAAATGAACATCATGCTGTATGGAAGAAGACTAAAACTAGAGATTGAGACCATAAACTCATCAGGAAACTGTTTACGGAGCTCATAAATCAACTGAGAAGTCGGCTCATTTCTCCATAAGACTGAATGGTAATGGAGCTGCCCCATGCTGGTTGTTACACATATTGCAGGTTTAAGACACTTCTGCATTGATTTCACTTCAGACCCAAAAGGACATTTAAAGTTTAATTCAACTGTTCTTGTGCTTGCAAACACTTTTATAAAGTTTAAAACATTTTAAAATCCCAGGCTACCAACTGGATACGTCCCCGGTTGCTTGTATAGTCTGTAATTTCTAAAGAAACTGCATCCTCTTGTCTTTTTAAACACATTTTACCTGTTGTGCAACGTGGCAAATGGTAGACGAGGTTTCTCCGTATACTTACAGATGAGTCAGGGATTTGAGTCCTCTGAAGGTGTACTTCGATAGAGCCTGGATATCATTATTCTCTATGAACCTGAGAAGAGAACGAAGCACTCGTATGTCAGACGGCGATAACAAACTCCTGAAATTCAGCCCAGCTTTACAGAATGTCGTCCCGGTTCGGAGACGAGGTTGTGTTGTTGTGTGCAGTACAATAAGAGTGTGATTGCGTCCCTTATTTCACTAATAGCACAGTCGGCATCTGGTGGATTTACAATCAAATGGTGAGTTGATTGTGCCAATACAGATACATATTCTATTATTTTTATCTTGTATTTGATAGATCCTGTTGACTTTCAGTGTATAAGCAAAGAAAATATAAAACAATAAATGACTCTTAATGGTAAAAGCTCGATCCTTCCTTTGATTAATGTGATAAAAATGAGAGTGCAGCAGGTTTTTTCGAAGCTCTACTTGTCAGCGTCATTTGATCCCGTCCTGTCTTTGTTTTGTCATTTGATAGTCGAGGACATGCAGCATGTGCAGACTCTCTGGAGGTGGCTGGATATTAAAATATGACTTTATTAGCATGCACAGCGGGTAGCGGCAGTTAGTGGCAGCGAGGGGCCTGTTGGCTGGGAGGCAGCCAAAGCCACACAGCGAGCAGCCAGAGGCATGGCCATCACGGAGAGCTGCACACTCCAAGCCATCAGCTAACTACCTTCTGAAGCCCATCAATTCACAGAATGGCACATTCAGCTTTATCACACTACAGAGGCAGAGCGCTCGCTGTCGGAGGAAGATTTATTTTCAGTTTTGCTTTTGGCTTTGAGTCCAATCCGGTAAAATCTTGCAGTGCAGCTTTTAGTCAGGTTTGTTTTACTCATTTCACAGAGAAATAAACTCACCTACACTCATTGAACTAATCACTCATTAAAATAAACAATGAAAACTAAAAAATCTGTTCACTTTTAACGTAAAGCTAGTAGAAGTTGCAGTAATTATGACATATTGTAATGTATTTTAGGTGCTGGGTTATTGTGTTATTGACATATAAATAACACATAAATATTGTATTCACTCACAAATACACAGATTTAGATTGAGGCTTTACTTTGAGGGTACCAGAACAGAGAGAATAACAATGCTAGTTGGTTTTAATAGATCCAACCACCATCGAGCACAGAGAGGTTTCCACGGATCGTCATTCTAAATAAATATCAGCAAACATAATCTCAGTTATAAATAAAGTTATTACTATTACTGCTGGTTCTAGTGATACGGTGTACTTCAGTCCCAGAGGAAGCTGTGGATGGTACAATGTGTACTGTCTCTTGTCTTTAAACTATACATTGTTATACTCTATTCAGAAGGTTAGATAACTAGCATACAGTCTGTGCAATAGCTTGTGAACGAGAATCTGCAGCCTCTGTTGTCTCCCCAACGACTATAAGACTTATCTGCTATTAACATAATAAGGAAATGTTGTTAATTAACATAAAAATGTGGCATCTTGCAACACTATCCACTCATAGGGACTACAGCATTAATCAAAAGTCAGCAGTGACTTGAGACATTAGATTTTTTATTAACATTTAACCAAACTCACAATCTTTCCTCAACGTAAACAAAAAGTGTTTTTGTTGCAGGAGTGTCGACACAAACCCCGGACCCTGGTGGGACAGTCCTGCACTTTGTACGTCCACCATCTACCCCAACCACCTCTTTCTGAATCCATCACGTTACATAAAGCTGCCACCCCATCCTACCCCTCTAGATCTACTGAACCGAGTGAGGGTGTGTTTCACTATTTTAGGTACACTAAAGTAGTTAAAAGACCAGTCACAGTCACATCTACTTACAGGTACTGCAGGTGAGACAGACCGGCAAAGGCATCATCAGCAATCATGGTGAATGTGTTGGAGTTCAAGAGGCTGCAAAAAGGAGGCAATAATGAGCAGCTCATACAGATAATGTAGTTCACGAAGCAACATTTAGACACCTGACTGCCATTTTAACTGCTTTAATAACAGTGTTGTCTGAATCACATAAAACATTCACAGCATATAAAGCTAATCTAATGTAAATACATAAATTAATTTGGATTTACACAAACACACACACACACACACACACACACACACACACACACACACACACACACACAAAACAGGGGGCTTGAACACACACTCACGATTGCATCTGAGCAGATAATCGGCCCTTTGTCTGGCCGAGCAGAACTGAAGGGAGTCAGTGATTGGCAATGACACTGATACAGAGCCACTTTACCCTTATTACTGCTATGTCACCACTGTTTTCAATAACCATTCATTTCTAGTAGCAGCTGAAGTCCTTCTATTGTTGTCTGCCACAATATCGGCTGTGTGAAAATGTTAAATGTTGTGACCGTGAATAAAAGTGTGTGAGAACTGTGAGAGTTTATGATGTTTAAAACTGTGGGAAGGTGCTCCGTCGTGGGTCGGGACACTCACAGGAACTGCAGGAGGTGGAGGTGCGAGAAAGCTCCCTCTGGGATCGTAGTGAAGGCCGCGTTCACCATCGTCCTGTCCGGAAACAAACAGTTATCATCAGACGTGTCTTCTTGATGTGAGAGAGCAGAAAAATGTCTTATTCACAACATTAATTGTGTGCTTGTATTTCTTCTGAGGCCCCTCTGCTCTCAGGACAGCGCCGTCCTTGCAGTTTAAATATCAAGGAGGGCTCAATCTTTAGAAAAACTGGGACGCGTTAGTTCCTTCTTCGCTTCTTTACTTCTTCTCTATTGTAAAATGAGGGCAGCTTGTGCTCTGGAATTCCCTTGACTGTTTAAACTCAATATTCAATGCACAGCCAATGGGGGTCAACATCAGATGAACAGGAGCACCGTGTAACCTTCTCAGTAAAAGCATAACCTTCCCACATCACGTGTGAAGCTTTCCATTCCATTTTATGCCCTCTGTCTATATCCTGCACACTCTTTAAGATTAAATCTCTCGGAGGACTCCTGCAGTGAGCCGGAGAATCTATTGTTAGTGTTCCTCCCTGGAGCTCGGCAGGATCGCACTGCTGTGCTCCCTCAACTAAGTTCAGCATATGGTAGGGTGAAGGGACATTATTATTATGTAATACCATCTGGTATACATCTTTCTGCCAGCATAAATAAAGTATCAAGAAAACACTTTTAGATAATTAAAAGACAAGTAGGGATTCATGCATCATTACATAATGGAGGGTGACATCAGTGATGTAGCCATCTGTACCAGCCTGCGTATTGCTGAGACTTCATACAGGTTAGGAGAAGATGCCTATAATGTGACACATTATATGTTGGACTCACAGAGAGATGATTCCAGGGGGGAAGCTCTTGGGGATTGCCTTGGTGTCCACACAGAAGGCACTGTCTTTGGTGCAGGAGCAGGTCGCAGGACAGCGGGGTATCTTGGGGGCTCTCCTGGCGTTTGACTCCCCCGGCAGGCTCAGACACAGACACAGAAGCGACAAGCAGATCAGCCTCGTCCATCTCCGTCCGAGCTCCGGCATCCTTGGGCAGGAGGGAAGGGAAGCCGTGTGAATGACGAGCTTTTCTTGGAAGTTTCTCCTCAGTGGCTTGTTGAGAGACGATGGTCAGCCTGCCTACAGCTCCAGCAGTTCTGATAATGCTGAGTGCAGAGTTGAGATAGAAAGAGAGAGAGAGAGAGAGAGGAAGGGAGGGAGGAGGAGGAGTAAGGGTAGTCCTGTGTATCCTCGGTGGGGTGTGGGTGCTCTGCAGCTTCCCAGGATCTGTGCGATCTCTCCCAGGAGCTGCTGCCAAGAGTGCACACTGCAGGAGTGACGAGCTTTTCTCCGCACCAGGACCTGTAGGCAACGTCGCTGACAATGAATTATTTACTGTTGCACACGCAGGGAAATCTTAAAACACCAGCAGCAGGGAGGGAGGGAGGGAGGGAGAGGGGGGTGAGGAGGAGTGGCGGGGCAAAAGACTATACTGCCATGTTCTGTTCTGTGGAGCTCTTATCAGGTGTGAAGTCGTGTCAAGCTGCTGCAGTCATGAGAGCAGACAAGGAGGCAGCGAGGATGCAGAGAGGAATGTGTGTGCATGTGTTAGTGGCTCTGTGTGTGTGTGTGTGTGTGTGTGTGTGTGTGTGTGTGTGTGTGTGCGTGGGAGGGTGTTCATATTCTGGCAGTTTCCAAACAGCAACCAGTGCTGAGACGCACACTTAATCAAAAGAAGAAAGAAGGAGAAACACAACCTATTGATGAAGCAACGCAAGAATGTTGTACCAGAAAAATATCTACGAGTATAATCAGATTTATATTTTATAAATAAATTACCTTCCAGACGACACAGAAAATGAACAACACCTTTAAAAGTGTTATTCAGTGATCGAGTGTCCATCCAGGAGGTAACAGTGATGCAACCGTTAACGCAAATACAACTAATGACAGATGACAGATTAAAACCAGTTGTTCTCAGCTGGTCTCACCCTCACCCACATTTCCCCATTTGTCATTAAGTTGTAACCCACATTTATAGAATTTAAACAAAGCTAATTTATTTTTCAGTTTAGTAAAAAATTTTTTTTTTTTTACATCCCTGCATCCAGGGATCCACACACACACACACACACACACACACACACACACACACAACACAAACCTAAATAATATATTTTTCACACACACATCACAAAACACAGTCTACACACACAGCAGTCATACAGCTTAAATATGTAGAATTCCTAATTAAAAAATGAATTATTTCTCATAATCTGAGCGTGAATGACACACAATGTCAGCAATTCAAGGACATTTAGGATCGTAGAACCATTTTGCATCTTAACAATACAGTAGGTTCTCAATCTGAGATAACCCTTGATACATAATCAGGATTACTTTCTCAGACTTTTAAAATCTCCACCACCACCGGAGATGTTACACAACTATTTTCATCCTCCTAATGTGATGTTCATGTTTAAAGTAGACGGAGACCTCTTTTAATATCATTTTCAAGACACATTTAACATTAATTACAGCAAATTGTGCTTTAATGTGCTGAATTATTTAATGCACAAAGAACAGGTAAGAAAGTATGGAAGCCCATTTCTGCCAATATGACAAAAAAAAAAAAGATTCTGTAAGTTATTATAATGAGGGACTTTATCAAAAAATGGACACATCTTTTCAAAATAATGACTTAGTATCACACACAGTCAATATTTTGAGATGCTAAGTCATAATTTTGATAAAGTTCCTCATTATAATAACCTACAGAATACTTATTTTTCCTGTCACATTGGCAGAAATGGGCTTCAATAACAAACAGATATACAACATAAAAACTATTCTGCCCGCTGTTCCAGGCTGACGACACCAGAGGGCACTGTAGGCTTCAAAATAAAAGTCCATCGGCGGGGCAGGCGACTGTGCAGAGTGTGTGAATGGCCACTGGCGGGGCTGCAGCCTCAGTGCCAGGCGTTACCAGCCTTCCTGCACAACGACTCTGTTGTCACAAGCAAAGACACCCTGCAACATGCTGTCTGTCCACTTGTTCCCCACCCAGACGGGCAGCAGTGGCGTCCAACAACATCTGATCCACTGCAGCAGCTTTAAAGCGCATAATAACAATAAATAACCTATGAATTAAATGTTTGATTTAGCTTTCTTTCCTGTAATATTCTGTTCTCTTTCTTGCAGCCACGGTCCCGTGTCCTCTGATGTACGACTACTGCGAGCTATGAAATGAAATAAAAAGCATTATCTTGATGGATGAAAGAGGGAAAAGCTCTTCGGGGGCTTCATTTGAAATCTGTTTGATGTTTCCTTTGCCTTGGGACAGTTTGATGTTTATCAGTGAAAGCCTTCCAAAGATTCTGGTGTTGTTTTTTTTCTTTAGTCCCTAAAATCTGTGAAGCCTGACTGTATGTAAAGGAGTGATTTCTCATGTGAATCAGTTACAGAATTATGGGTGGTGTCTCTTTGTGCCTCATCCAGTTTCAGGGATGACATTTCCTGCACAGCAGCTATTTTTATGGCTTATTTTCCTTTGTGCTTTGGCGTGTTTGCGTGCGTCTTAGCAATTTTTTTTGTTCTAACTGTATCTGTGTATTTATGTAAGTTATGCTCAGCGAGGAGCAGTTAATTCCTGAGCTTACTCCTTGCTGAGCTCCACCCAATCCAAACCTCCGGTGGGAACCAGCATAATTGCATGGCATAGAGAACGGAGCATGAAACAGCAGCTGGAAGCCCTAACGTGCCCTGTGTGAGGCCGAGGAATCTGAAATGCTTGCAGAGATTAATCCACTGAACTCTCTCTATACGAGTGTACCTACACAGTGGAGTAAATCACACCAAATAATGACTGATTTCATCTTTAGGAGCAACTATTCTGAATGACTTTTGTTGCTTGGCTCTTAAAGTTAAGATGAGAAAATGGATACCACTCACATGCCTGCACAGTAAATATGAAGCTCGAGCCAGAGGCCGATTAGCTTAGCTTAAAGGGAAACAGCTGGTTCAAAGATCTGCCTACCAGAACCTCTACTGCTCGCTGATTATCTAATATCTTGTTTGTTTCTGTACAAAAACCCGAGAGTAGGCCAGGCTAACTGTTTCTACCTGCTTCCAGTCTTTATGCTAAGCTAAGCCAACCACCGTAGAAACATGGAGGTTCTGCACCAGAAGAGGACCTCCTCCCTCTGTGGATAATAACGTCTCTTTCCAAGGTAACGAAAACACGACAATTCTTATTTTCAGTTGATAATGAACAACAGCTCCTGAGGGGAAATACCTGTCCGTTGCTAACGTTGCCCGTCTGCTGAGCAGGTTGCGTACAGTTGGTTTTAATAGATTTATTACTGAAAGCAGCTGCCTGGCAAAGCCCAAAAGGAGGCTATGAGTGTGAATCAGAACGGTAAAGGTGTTGGCCAGACAGCGAAAACAAAGCGCTGAAACCATAGACTGTATAATTAAAAATGGTGGTCGCCTTCTTGGCAGTCCTGGCTTGGCTCCCGGCTAATCCAAAAATGGGCAAAGAGGTTTTGATTTTGATTTATTTGCACAACAGCAGAACCACAAACAAGAGAAAAGAAGCAAATTGTGCAGGTGAGATTTAAAAAAAAAGGCTTGTAAAAGAAATCTCACCTCAATAGAGACACAAAAGTTTTGTTATCCACAAACGTAAACAGAATCAAAAGGCAAACAGAAATTAAGTGTGGGTGAAACTGAATGAAAGCCTGGTTACTGAAAACAGCCGCCTGTCACTCAGAGCAGCCACACCCCCTAACCCTAACCCTAACTTTAAGCTTTAATATAACCTTAAACAGGTGAGTTATATAATGATTCAACCCCTCGTACGGTTGAGTTTAATGGGGAAATTAGCAACAAAAACAAGTTGTTTATTTCTGCTGTAAAGTTGGGCATTTTGAAATGAGGCCTTATGGTGGTTGACTCACTTCTGGAGCCAGCCTCTAGTGGCCGTTTGAGGAACTGCAGGTTTTTGATCTTTACGTGTTTACGATTTATAGGTAGGTAGCTGGTGGAGACCAAAAACAGAGTTGAAAGAGGGTGAACATTGGACTTTACATTCACCAATGAATGATCGTGTTGCTCTGTAACTGCTGGAGGTGAAAATAGTTTAACATATCAGCTTAAAAGTTGATGTTTTATTCATTTATTAATGATGTATTTGATAGGGACAGATACAGTAAACAAAGACAGTAATATGATGCAAGTATCATAGCGTTTAGAGCTAATCTGCAACACCCATGTGTCAATGATCACAACTTGTTTCTGCTGCCCCCAAGTGGCCAAAATCAGTTATTGCAGCCTTAAAGAAGGCCAGAAATGGAATATACTATTAATAGGTATGTTTTCATTACTGTATAATCACCTAAATATAAGAACTGTTGTGTTTTTGTTACCTTCCATGGTAGTACGCCATGTTTCAGTAAGTTGCAATCTGCAGCTTCCCCACTAGATGCCACTAAATCCAACACACACGCCGGTCCTTTAATATGTTTGCTAGAACATGAATGTCAGTAACAACTCCCCGTTTTTCTTTTTCAAACCCATGAGATTGTGACGTGAAGCAGCAGCAGCAGCAGCAGCAGCAGTGCAGCCTCAGCACATCTCTCAGTCGAGGTCCTGTATGGCCTTAACAGCTGTGCCTCTCCCGAGCCTTCTTGTTTCATGTCAACTCTTCAAGCAATAAAGGAAAAAGTTCAGCCAAGCTTCCACTCACTCTTTTGAGAACCGCTCCACATTAGGAGGAACATTTTGGCCGTGCCGAGTTCGGCAAAAATTACTCATCAGACATCACAAAGTGTTCCTGCCTCCCCGTGCCAGACTTTCACCATCTCATTATATCCTCTTGCTGTCTGGCACTCTCGAATCAGAGCTTTTCACCTCCTATTTGGACAACTTTTAACTGTACGTCTCAACGAGGGTTCAACGCCGACTTTGTTCAGTTTCGGTTTCAGAAACCCACATCCCCTAACGATCACGGGCCAAGGAGCCCTGAAAAGACCTCTCTGTGTGTCTGTCTGTTTCCATTTCTGTTTGGTTTTCATGGGTTTTTTTTTTTGGGTTTTTTTTTGCCTCCTGGCTTCGCAGGAAGCAGGAAAAACAAAATAGGAAGATGTTTTTGTTTGACCTTGGTTCTTTGCAAAGGGAAAATCCCAGCTGCTCCGGGCGACGTGGCCTGGTACAGGAGTCAGAAAGGTGTTGAGACTTCAATCAGACATGTAGTGACACGTTGTGGCGTTCCTATACTTTACACTGTAAAAAAAAACAGACAAAAAACCTGTATTTTCTGTATTTTCTAAATACATGGAGATTAATTTACAAATTACAACATTTAACTGTAAATGTACATGTTTTATGTAAATAATAACTGTAAATAACCATAAAATTACTGCTTATTTA